CCTTCCAAATCAGGTCACTTTTGAAGATGCCATAAGATCCTTTGAACTGAATCCTATACGCGGAGCGGGTGGAATAGGAACCATTTGCAGTCCATCGCCAAATCAAGAAAAACTTTGCTGTCTTGTATATATAATTATTAAATACCCAATTATCCCCTTTCAGTTACCAGAAAGGTAATTACTAACAACAAGCAGCAGGAAGAAATGAGCCAGGGAAACTCATGAACCATGTAGTATGCTGAAACCACCAGCAATTTCCACTCACTAAACTAGCAAAGCCATCACACATTTTTCAATAAGATCGAGTGGAAGCTTTCAAGCAGCTACCTTGAAGCCCATATGCTACCAAACAAGCCTGACGCAGCACCTTAACCTGAAACCCTTTATAATAGACCCACAACCACACATACCAAACCTCATTCCAAGCTCGATCTCTTCATTCATTCATAGTCTGCCTCCCAAAACACCTGCCTCGCGCGTGGCAGCAGCACAGCACGATGATCACCACAGCACACACCCGGCAGCAGCACCATGCCTTCGAGAAGAGCCCTGGCAACAACCACATGAAGAGCATCGACAGGAAGCTGCAGCAGGCCATGAACCAAGCGGCCAGCAAGTACATGCAGAGGATCTACCCGCTGGGCATCCAGAGGAGCAGCTCCAACCTCACATTGTCGTCGCTCTCGCTGTCGCAGAACTCCAATGACTCCTCCATCAGCAGCTCCAACTCCAGCTGGGAGCCCAAGGTGCCGCTGCTCTATGGCGGCACCTTCAGCCCCTGGGGCGAGGTGATGGTGTCTCGGGAGATGAGGCGAGAGGATGATGACAAGGTCAGTGACCATGACGTCGAAGGAGGTGAGGAGGACTTCGACTGCAGTGAACCAGGGAGCTTGCATAGGTGCAGCTGGATCACCAAGAACAGTGGTAAGGAACTAAAATGCTAGCTAACTCTGTTTCTGTCAATCCTTTTCAACTGAATTAATGATCTTGATTCATGTATTTGTTTCATTCACATGCATTATATTAGCATGATGTTTCTACTGGACGAAAACAGTTTGTAATCCAAACCTATCATCTCATCCAATTTGACAGAGCTGGGCTTTAACCACGCGCTTTCACCTTTGAGAACATCGGTTTCTTTGTACAGGAGATGTGCATATATATTATCTAAAAAAAAGGAGATGCATGCATGCACTCGGCTAACTGAATGATGCAAAAAAAAAAGTAAATTTTTACCAACCAATGATTATATAAAGATTTGTCAGGAATTTTTTTATAAAACAAAAGAAGTTTGGATAGACAATGGGAACAGTCAGGCAGACAGCCTTGTCCTTTAAGAAGTGGCGAAGTCGACATCGCTGACTTGATGCTCCGATTTGACTGACCAAATTTGAGTGCTGGTGAGATGGAGAATAGCAGCATTCAGTCGACAAATTCATCGGAAAGGGACTTGTCTCCTGTTCGGTGTAGTTTGTTGGGCAAAATAGACTAACTAGGGATAGAAAAAACGAACAACTCAATCAAAAACCGAAAAAGCGAAAACTGACTGAATCTGAATGACTGACTGCAAATTAATAAACGCATTGTGTTGTGCAGACGAGGCGTACGTTCAGTTCCACGACGAGTGCTGGGGCGTCCCTGTGTACAGCGACAAGTATAGTATTTGACTTTGCCACCACATTCATTTCTCCCTGAATTTGTGAACTTCCATACTTAAAAACTAAGCTTCATGCTGGTGATCGATGTCTGCGGTGAATGATTCGCACCTGGCAGTCGGCTGTTCGAGCTTCTGTCGCTGTCAGGGATGCTGATCGACCACAGCTGGACGGAGATCCTCAAGCAGCGAGACATGTACAGGGAGGCGTTCGCCGACTTCGACCCCAGCGCGGTGGCGAGGATGGACGAGGACGACGTCGCGGAGATCAGCGGCAACAGGGAGCTGAGGCTCGCCGAGTGCAGGGTCCGGTGCATCGTGGAGAACGCCAAGTGCATACAGAAGGTGGCCAGGGAGTTCGGCTCCTTCAGCGGCTACATGTGGGGCCACGTGAACCACCGGCCGGTTGTGGGCAAGTACCGGCACCACAAGTACATCCCTCTCCGGACGCCCAAGTCGGAGGCGGTGAGCAAGGACCTCGTCCGCCGGGGGTTCCGCCTCGTCGGCCCCGTCATCGTCTACTCCTTCATGCAGGCCGCCGGTATGGCCATCGACCACCTCGTCGACTGCTTCCGCTTCCACGACTGCGTCCGCCTCGCCGAGCGCTCCTGGGGCATCACCAACGTCGCCGCATAGCCTCCCGGCAGCCGGCCCGTCGTCCGTCCATGCCTCTCCAAGTTTTTTACACCTTTTTCTTGGTGTTGTTATTTCTTTTTTCCATTTTGTTTGGAGATCCGGTGGTAACAACTCTTGAATTGTGTGTGAAATTATGTAGAGTATGTATGATGCTAAGTTATGATGTAATACGTCTATTTTTTGTTTTTTTGCGAACAGATGTAATAAGTCTATTAACTCTTTGCAAATGAAAAGTAGTATTCTCATTACTGAATTAGTGCGACTGCATGCAACTGGCTTCAGGCTTCTGCAACAGTAGTAATTCCTTTTTTTGCCATATAAAAAAAGAGATTGTTGTTTACCAAATGCAAATTTAAGCTCTTCAGTTCAGCATGTGCTTTCTAGACAACCTGTACAAATTTCTTTATTTCAAACCAATTTCAGTCGGGCCTGCATCCTTCATGTCGTTCTTCAAATTAAAGGATTATAAACATTTCATTCGGTCCTTGTTTCTCCGAAGATTCTTCTAATTGGGTCTAGTTTTCCACTATGATATTGATACGACTAAGATGTCCGGATAGACGGACGCCTCCCACAGCTCACTCCCGCATGCGCTCGCACCACTCCCCATTCTTATCCCTTTTGTGCTCGTGCCCCTGCCCCACCTTACGACGCGGCCATGGCTGCTTCCCAGGCTGGCGGCGGCGCGCTCCCCCACCCCGGCATCCTTACCCACCGGGAGTGCCCAACGCGTCTTGGGATCAGGTGTGGCTGGCGGTGTTGCGGTGGGAGGGGCGGCTCTCTTCCACCCCAAATAAGGACGCCCTCCCACCTCCGGCGCGCTCTCTCACCTCCTCGGCAATTGAATCGACCGCCTAACCTTCCCCTCCCCTATGTTGCATATGTATGTTTCAAGTGTTTCAAGCGTTTCAGATGTATGTTGTAATTGTTTCATATGGATGTTGCAAAAGTAGATTGGGGATATTGCAATTGTTTCAAAGACATGTTGCAAGCGTATGTTTCGAGTGCTTCAGATGTTTCAGAGGTATGTTTCATCTGTGTTTTCCGGACGCATGTTGCAAGTGTATTTATCTAGATGTTTCGTATGTTTCACACATATGTTGCATGTGTTTTATTTGGATGTTGCTATAGTTGCGATGGTTTTTCAAGTGTTTTCAGAAGCATGTTTTAAGTGTTTTAACTGTCTTCAGACGTACGTTGCAACTATTGTATTTGGATGTTTTAAAAGTAGATCAGGTGTTCCATCTCTCCAGCCCCCACCTTCTTCTGCATCGTCTCTCCACGGCGCCGGTAGGGCATCCATATGATGCCACGGCCAGGTCCTTCCGAATCAGAGGCGCCGCGTGTCCTTCCCCTCTTGTCACTCGGGTGACGCGGGCCCCGCAAGGGGCACAAAACAGAGTGCAGCACGCGGGCGTCCGGATGCGGGCATCCATCCGGACGTCCAAACGCTAGCACTACCGTTTCCACTAATATGCAATAGTAGGAGCTGCATTGCATTCTTACCTAGTTACCTTATTGACAAAGATGCATGGTTTGCTTCGCCATTGTCGTTACTTGAACACTATAGCCATCTAAACGTATGATGTCAAACCGATGACAAACAGCAGCTAGTGTAAATTCATCAACAAAAAGGACAAAAAGAAACTCAAATAGAACACAGAATAATGGCCAGTTTTTTCAATAAAAGACAAAGAGAAACGATGCTAAAAAAGAACAAATATAATGCAAGCTGCAGAGAAAAAGAAAACATGTACATATAAAAAATCCAAGGGTGGTATCATGTGATATATGTATGCACACACAATATTATCTAAATGCTTTCTTATGATAACCTGTCCACAATATTACAATAGCAATAACAAGAATTGAGAATGCCATTAGACTCCCTCATAACGACACTTATCATGGCCAATATCATCTATCAGACATACATACACAAATAACAAAGTGCCACCATAAGTCAAATCTATGCATAGGCATCACAGCGCTTTTTTGCAAACATAAATATGGCATATGGCCTTATTGTTGTAGCAACAACCAGTACGTAGTACATGTAGCTGTTACCACGACAAATTAAACACATCATCTGATCGATGTGTACCCAGGTTTGGCCTATGTATGTTGCCTTCTAAAAATACCTCTGTCGTTGTTCTCAAAACTGGCAAGAGGTGCCCAACCTCTCTGTCAGCCATGGGCTTCGGGCTATAGTTTGCTTCCTGTCAAGGAACATGCTCGGGAGCAACTCCTGGAACTTTTCAAAGAATGCACTCCATTTATTGGCAGTCAAATCTGACAGCTTCACAAAACTTGAGCTGGGAGGCAACATCTCATTGGTGCTCCAACCTGCAGACTGATACTCGCTACGGTAGCCATTATAATAGTTAGTTTTAGCACTCACCCTATTCTTTGGAAAACCATTGCGGCACCTTCTATTTCCACTAAAGCAAAGCCCCATGGACACACTGATAATTTTGAGGTAGACGGAGTACACTTAGGAACTAGACTGGTGCATGGGTTGGCATCATCTTGACTTGCCTCGTTTTTTGGCTTCCTTGTTTCCCTCAGGTAATCTTGAAAGTGGGTTCCTGAAAGTTCCCCCAATAGACCTATATTTGTTAAAAATGATGTTTCACATGTAATTGAATCATCAGCTGAGTCAATATCAAACTGGGTGAAGTTTGCATCACTATCATCATCATCTTCTTCTTCAAAGTCTGTTTCTTGTAAAAAGCAATTCTATCTCCTTAACCCAATTCCTTGCTTCCATACACATAACCTCAAGCACGCTTGGCTCCTCTTCTTTTTTGGTAAACTGTCTGCTCATCATGTCCCCTATCTTTGACAAGCAGTGGCCAGAAGCTGCAGCTTCCTTGAGAAATATTGTTGAGAGGACCAACACCCTAAGACTTGCCTCATGAATCATGGGCAGCTCCATGCGAAGCATTTCAACGTCCTTTATAGGGTCCAAATCTTTGATATACTCTAGTTCTTCTTTAGAGAAAGGAATAGATGCTTGTGGCCAATGAATCCACTCAAAGTAAGGATCTTCCAGACTTTCTGGAAGACATATACCATGATCAATGGGAATAAGTTTTGTTTGAGCTTCAAAATGGCTAGATCCATTGTCAAGGTTCCTGACTAGAAGATTGCACCATGCCTATCAGTGTTAAAGATTCTAATGTCGAGTATGCCAATCCTGCGAATGGAAGAGATAGGTAAGCTCGATGTTCCATGGTCACTAGCATCATAGTCATGTGGAATGAATTGTTGCAACAAGGCAATCTTGCTATGAGCCTGTGATCTATCCCTATTGGTCATGTTGTTACAATTATCTTCATTCACATGAAACACACTATGGTTAACTTTCACTAACATAGTAAGAGGGACTCCTGCAAAATTCTTGTGATCAAGGAGATATGCAGCGACCTCCCGAAATCCTGTCTCATCAACCCGTACAAATCTTTTGAGGCCTGGCTGCCCAAGAGTCTTCCCCACAAAACCTTTAGGATTATTTGGAGCACAAGGTTCCTCATCTGTTGGTTTAATAATTGCAACATGTTGCTCCTAGATATCCCAAAAATAGTAGGCACCTCCCATTCCCCCAGTAACAGCCACTGGGTCAACACCATTTGTAATTCCCTTGATGATATCCTTAACCAACTCCTTCACTGCAGCAGAAGGGCTTGAACAGCCTAGGATTTCAATAACTTTACTCCGATCATGGTGCTGACATTCTTTTCCTTTAGGAGATAGGCAAGGTGTGGAGCAGCTTCTATGCATGTGATTTCTAGTGAGAAGCAATGGTGAGTCATTTCGAACATAGCTGAGATCATTGTTCAAAACCTGATCACCAAATGTCAGTGAGCTCTCCTCTGTGGGTACATTAAGGGCTAACTGCAGCTTCTTTTTTTACCGTGTGTGCATTTTCTCCTGGCTCTAGTTCAATGCCTGGGACAGAACCACTATTAGTTTGAACAAACACGTGCTTGCAGTTAAGGGGTCTCCCCCCCTCAGTTATTCTCTTTGAGGGGTAATCACTACCCAAGTTGTGATCTAGAACCGCAACAGCCATTTGTGTCTTAAAAGCGGTATCAGTGTTGTGAGGTATTAGACTGCTATGAAGAAATTATGGGTGCTAGCAAACACTAGTTGATGAGCTGGCAACAATAGAGAGGGCAAACCAAATTTTCCAACTTATGACAATCAGACAAATTACCAATTACTGATTGATTGGCATGTCGATGTACACATTATGATGTTGTGACATCTAATACTAAGTGCTACTCATTATAGAACTAGATGGCATAGATCCTGCAAACAATAAATAACAAATTAGATGTCCACAAAATGAGTAAGAAAAGGTACGATCAAATAATTTAGGAGAAAGCTAACAAGATACCCATACGCTCAAACATAGCGAATAACAATGAAATGAAAGTAAATGTAAACCATGGCAGAATTTTAGGGATGGTGACATCCATTTACTATTTTTACAGCTCTACCAGTTAAACGAAAGGATTAGGTAAATTGGGATATCATTTTTCATACAAAATGGTTTAGCTATAGGATTTCAAATTCAGTGCTTCTTTGTTTCCTTACTTCAAACATGATGGTATTAACAAGTATGCTATGGTCCCAAAAGCCGAGAAGAAATTAAATAGGCACACACCCCCAATGTATTTGCTTAAGCAGAATTACAACACAAATAATCATAAGTATAAAAAAACTAGTACTAGGTAATATCGATTTCTTTGAAATCATACAGTCCAGAACTTGCCACGTGATTGAATGGGTCTAAATTCATTTGCTCCACTTGCATGCTAGCAGTAATTGGTTAATGAGCTATATAACATCTATGTTGTTTCTCCCAAGTTGTTGATTGATAACAATAGGCATAAGAATCCTTTACAAAAAGAACTATAGGCATAACAAGAAAAAATATAGTTTCTCCCAACTTCTAGAAGTATATAAAAAGAACTGAGTCTATCAATTTGTTTGAAGTGGTACACGCCAGATCTCAAATTGTGCCATACGATTGAATGGGTCTAGATTAATTTGTTCCACCTACATGCAAGCAATAATCGGCTAATGGACTCTAGCATCTCCATAGCTTTTCCTAAGTTCATTGGGAACTATAAGCATAACAATAAAATATATAGCATTTTCCTCAACAAACCCTACTCATTTCATCATAGGCACCCTGAAAATCCCTAGAAAAAAAACAAGAAAAAAGATCTTGATCCGTGCTACTGACAAACATAATAGTCTCCTTCATGTCCAGCCAATTTTTTGGAGGTTTTGTGGTGTATGTAGCTACATATTGTTCTTATATAAGAAGCACATCCCAACAAGGGTAAAATAGAGAGGGGGTAGAAGCAGAGATTAAGGGCATGTTTGGTTTTCTTGACATATTTATCACCTCACCTCATCTTGTTAGCCCAGAGAGCCAATTGTCTTGCCTAAAAAAGTGAGAGGAAAACTTACTTGCACAAGAATCGAGATAACCAGCATAGCATCCAAACAATATGTAATGTTCTAACTTCTTTTCAGGCAAGGCTAGGCAAGTTGCAGCAAGACATACAAACACCCCCTAAAGTCATGGTTGAATCTGCACTGTCTAGCCACAACACATCATTCTTTGCCACCAAATTGGAGCAACGGCAATAATGACACCGAGACCATGAGGGGATTAGAACTCTCCATTTACACCGTGTTGCGCGGGGGTGGTGACGAGAGGGCAACCTATTCTATCAGGAAGGAGTCCCACTTCCATGAATAGGCGAGGCCTCAATGCTACCAAGCAGATGACCAAGACTAGCCAGGGATGGACCAAACTAATAGCTAGCCGTGGTTAACAGAGAGGCAGTGAGACTACCATGGTTAGCATCCTCTCTCTCTCTCTCTCTCTCTCTCTCTCTCCCTGCGCGCAAGTGCATGTGTGTGCGCGTGCGTGTGGCAATTATTGTTGGAGATGGACGATATTATTTGAGCCATGGCTAAGAATATACTTTGTGTGTTTTTGGACCTGCTGGAAGCAATATCTCTACTTTAGTAAAACCTCATCTCCGCATGCAATGCAAGCTTATCTAGAGATCCTCCTATTTTTAGAGCATGTCTCATACCATATTATGTTGTAGAGTTGTTCTTAGTAGTGGGTGCCAATTTGTGACAGAGTCAGTTACGAACGGGGCATGGTAGATATCGCGCCAATCGCCAAAAGGCAGGAGAACATGACAAGCCGGCCAAGCTCGTAGAAAAAAAAAGTTCTTGTCTTTGTGATAGACAAGGGTACGACGATGAACCACCCAAACAAATTGAACATAGACTAGAAGTTGGATAAAGACTATCATGGAACCGCCCAAACAAATTTTATGGGGCATTATTGTGTATATAACTATTTATTATCCATATATAAGAAACACATCCCAAAGGAGGTTAGAGGGAGAAAGAGGATATTAAAATCGTAGCTAAATATGCATTGCCTAGCTCAAACATCCCTCTTTGCCTCCAATTAGAGTTGCAACAACATTGACACCGACAGCAGGGGGATCGGAACTCACTGTTCTAGCCTTGTCGTGTTGGGGTGGCGGCGACGAGGGGGCACCCTATTCCAGTAGACAAGGAGTCTCACTCATATGAACAGGCAAGTCCTCACCGGCGCCGATGAGCAGCCAATCGAGACTGGCCAGTGTTGTCCCCAGTTACTAGCTCAAGTCGCCATCCACACTAGGGACGGGCCAAACTAATAGTTAAACATGGTTAAAAGAGAGGCAAGGCAACCACAATCGGCATCCTCTTATAGCCTACCGCCGTCCCTCACCAACCCCTCTCTCTCCCTCATTCTCACGTGCTCGTTCACAGGGGGGCTCTTGCAGTTGGCGATGGACGACATCCTTTTAGCTATGGCCGAGAATAGGCTCTGTGCATTTTTGGATCTGTCTTAGCTCAAAGCAAGATCTTTTCTTTAGTAAAACCTGATCTCTGCATGCAACCGATCTTATCTAAAGATCCTCTTATTTTTAAAGTACTCCTTGGACTATATTAGAAATGTTCTTAGTAGTGGTTGTTGATTTATGACTCCATCGGTGAGAACGGAGTATGGAAGATAGCACGCCGATTGTCAAAACGCAAGAGAACATGATGAGTCGGCCAAGTGCGTAGAACCAAAGAATTTTCTTGGCATAGAAACAGAAAATTATTTTCTTGTCTTTTCGATGGACGAGGGTTGACAATGAATTGTCCAAACAAAGTAAAGGTAGACTAGAAGTTGGATGTAACTATCATGGAACCGGCTAAACAAATTTCTTGTCTTTTGAAGTGATACTTAGGTTCCTCATGTGTAAATCAACCATGGGTGAGTACTCGCAAGCCTAAGGGAATGGGTAAAACATACGGAGTTGGCAATGAGTCTATCGATTTTCATTTGCAAAACAGTTTAAAACTGGGTTTTCTTCATTTGTAGAACAGTTCAAGGCTGATTTTGTTTGACTGAATTGGCACGAGATTATGTCGATTTCTTGATAGAGAAGAGAGATTTTCATCTTCGCTATCTGGATTTTCTTAAAAAAAAGGAAACATATAATGGCCTCTTGCGCTATAAGGGTCGCCAAACATTTTGCCCATAACATGATTCAGGTGGTGTCTTCTCCATGATTTTTGCAAAGACTTGTTGGCTCCTGTTATCCATAGTTTTATGAACCCCTCAACTCACAAATACAGACGCGTGATCCATGCTCGCTATCCGTTCGAGTTCCCCGACGATTTATCTCCACCCATTTTTTGAATTTTAAAAAACTAATTTATTTAAATATATTCGAGAAAGATAAAAATAAAGCTCTCTATTTATTTCATTCATTTAGCACAATCCTTTGTTTACTAAGCAAATCTTATGGAGCTTCTGAAGATGCTTTATAATTATTTTTAAAACCGTTTGTCTCGGCCTCTCGAACACAAAGTTTGATATGTATATGATGATGGGAAAAACTATTTCTCTCTCTCATAAAAGGAGGAAAAAAACATCTGTCAGCCACACCAGTAATCCTCTCGATCCGATTTAGCAGGTAGGCAGAGCCACGTGGCAACCATCGAGAGCATGGTGCCTCATCCCCTCTTGGTTTCCACCCACCACTCATCCACAACTTTTTTTGTTTTTTAGCATCAATCAGTGGATAGAAACTCATCCACAACCACTAGTAGAGAACAGGCCTTTGATCCTCGGCCAAAATGGGCTCTAGTCCCGGAATTTTTTGCGCCCGGGATTAGAAATACCTTTAGTCCCGGTTGGTGTCTCCAACGAGACTAAAGGTCCCTCGCCCAACGGCTATGCGCCGCATGTAGGTGGTGGCGGGGACTTTAGTCCCGGTTGGAGCCACCAACCAGACTAAAGGTATACTTTTACTCCTCGGTTGGGGGCTCCAACCGGGAGTAAAGGTCTACTCTCTGGCCGTGGCTGCCTGGGGTTGGAAAGTTACCTTTAGTCCTGTTGGAGCCACCACCGACTAAAGGTCCCCTTTATATCCCGGCGGCTCCTCCTTCCTCCCCGAGCCCGAGCTCAAGACATTTTGAAGCTCACCGCAGTAGTGTTCTTGCTTCCTCCCTCCTCCATTGTTCCTCCATCCATTATTCGATTCCTCCATCGATTTCTTCAATTCCTCCGTCGATTCTTCAGTTGTAAAGGTTACCAATCTCATACTCTCATTTTTCACCATTGTCTTATCTCATTTTGTTCACTATATATATATATGGTTCTTTATTTTGGTTTTTTTCATTTGTAAGCAATTTGAGCTCAAAATCACTTCAAGCTTGCATATTTACATGAAATAAGGTTAAAGTAGCTAGTTGAACTTGCGGACCGTGTTCATCTCGGCGAAACACGTTCTCTCGCCGAAAGGCAACGGACGCGTCAAGGAGGAGCTTTGATTCTACGAGGGAGAGCGGCAACGGTCGTGGAAGACCGTGTTCCTTCCTTGTAGAATTGGAGCTCTTCCGTGGTCAAGCACGGTGCCGTCTCTCGTGGAGACATGCTCACCGAGATGATCACGTAAGCAAGGTCAACTAATACGGATGGTTATT